TTGAGATCTAATTACAGTTTTGGACTCGGGAGGTTGAACCCTTTTGATTGGTATATTTGACCATATCCAATCTCTCGTAGATTCATTTACCATAATCCTGCCTAAAAGAATTTCAATTTGAGGGTAGGCTGGTAGAGATCCTGATAAGTAATAGAATTGAATTGGGTATACGCACACCGCATGCTTGGTATTGTTGGTACACAAAAATATAGATAATAGAAAGGGAAAAAAAAGTCTCTTGGATAAATTTATTCTAATCCTGCCTAAAAGAATTTCAAGTGCCATGGTTATTGAGGATTCCCTCTCGTTTGTAATCTGTAATGGGATTTACCAACACTATAAACAATATCAGTTTGAATGATTTGGTGATTTAGGCTTACTCAAGATTTTACTTTGGATTGTTGTCTCATAATATATTCCTTGTAATTTTCTTGCAGTTTAGTTAGATCAAGGTTAAAATAGACAAATACAACTTTAGGTTGATAATATATATCAATAGTTTTCAGTCTCATAGTAATACGTGTGTATTAACTAAACTTTCTTAAATACTACTGTTATCATGTGGTGAAAAATGTATGTGTAAATTTTTGAGGATTGTAATAAACACTAGACATAAAAGAGCAAATTCTTTATTCAAATTCTTTTAAATCTTGTTAAATTGTTGCTTACAGAACACAAACCATTTGCAAAACTGTTTAATACATCTGAGTATTTGTGTGAAATTTCAGAAAAGTTGTTCTATATTAAGTAAATACATTGTTTAAAGCTTGCGGCTGTTATAAGCTAGATTGTAGTTTGGGAACCTAAGTTGCAATTTTTCACACAAATGACTATAACTTTGAAAACAATTTTACTAAGTATGTGTGTACAAAATGGGAAGATATTAAATGTTTGTCAGGTACTGACAAATTTATTCAGTAGTGGGAGTTTTCCTTATGTTGCATATTACTATACTGATGAACGTTGATATGTATTGAGGTTAATTTCACATTGTAAGAAAGATATTCTGGGCCCCTTACAACTCTTGGAACTACTTCATACTTCATCAGTTGTGTTCATTCTGATACCTATGGTTATTCACTGTTGCCCAAAACTGAAATATTCATTATAACAAGCTTTGGCAAAGGACGATGAAGTCAGTGTTAGACCACACCATTTTACAAACTTTCCACAGATCTTCCACTGTGTGTAGATGCTTCTAAAACCATATATAAGTAGATCAAAGAAATAATAATTCTGTTGGAGTAGCATTATGGGAGTTGACATATAGATGTATGGTCAAATGGGATTGTTGCATTTTCACTTTCTTTGACTATCTTTCTCATGAAAACAGCCATTGATTTCAAGTTGTAGTTGTGATATTATGAACTTTGGCTTTTGAGCCTCGCTGTCTTTAAGCACGCATGTGTTATCTTGTTAATGGTACCAGGATATATACATGTATATATATGTTAAGCTTTATAACTATGGCTTCTTGGGTTTGTTCCTTTTGTAACCAATAACCTTCATTTTGTAGATTGGAATTTTGCTTCAGATTGGCTTGGGTTGTGGTTTCCTAGTCTGTTGCTGTCATAAATACTGTACATGAAAAATATAAAAGGCTTCCTTTTTCAGAATGTTGTGCCCATTGGTTGTGCATCATTTAAAAATCATGCAAACTAAATATCTTTCCTATAAAGGGTGGTGACATAAACTTCAACCATAAGTCAACCATGTAGAATCAAATGTATAGTTGTTAAACATGTTAACTATGGTGCCACGGTTTGCCTCTGCATTAACACTTTTGTTGATTAGCTTATACAACTCATTCGTATAAAGTACACTTAACTTTTAATGTGTAGCTGACATTATCTGCCCTTTAAACAGTCTGACTATATTCTGTGTATGTAAGAAGTTACAAAAAGTTTTATGCAGGTTGACTCAATGGATTTCATCTAAAGCAGATTTAGACTCTTTTTTTTCTAATTCCTTAAGTAGGATGAGTTCTTTCACTGTTTCTCACAAACGTAGGCTACACAAAACTTGTTTGACGTAATAGTTATCACAAATCATTGCAAGACAAGCCCTCTGTTGTAATTGGATAAATTTCTTCATATAACAGTGTTCAGTACTTGGAAATAAAATTGGCAGTACAATAGAACAAACTACCTGGCTGTTCTTCAAGCTGATCTAGAATAACTATTCTTAATAAGTTAAAGTTTTCATTCTCTGTACTCATGGATTTCACCTCACTGAATAGCTGGAGAATGGTGAATTAAATTAATCAAATGATATGCTCACTATATACTTTGTGTAATGATTTTAATAAATGTAATTAATGTAAGCACTTTCTTAGAGTCACAATATCTGATAACTTATATTGCAACTTTTATATTCTTATTGTTTATATAATATGGATTAACCTTTGCAACTTCTAGGAAATGAGTTGATATTTCGAAGATCTTCGCCAAGCTCCTTTATCAATAAATAAGAATAAAACTTGTATCATAAGTGTGATATCTCAAAAAAGTTGTGTTATAATGAAACTTTGATTTAATCCTCAACACCTGCTATGTTAATGGTTTTCTTTAGCAAAGCTCAGTGAGAGTAAAGAGCAATCATAATGGAACTGTATTAAATGAAAATAGTATTACAATGTAATACATCCAAAACTTCTTGTTGAGATATTTTAATGAGTCTCTTGATTCATGTTTTGGGATGATATGTTTTATGATGACACTTTTTGATGCAAATTTTAGAATGTCTTCTTGATGAATGTTTTGGGATTAATTTTCTTGATTCATGTTTTGATACAAGTCTTTTTGATGCATGTCTTGGGATGAGTTTTCTTGATGAATGTTTTGGGATTAATTTTCTTGATGAATGTTTTGGGATTAATTTTCTTGATTCATGTTTTGGGATTAATTTTCTTAATTCATGTTTTGATACGAGTCTTTTTGATGCATGTCTTGGGATGAGTTTTCTTGAATCATGTCTTGGGATTAATTTTCTTGATTCATGTTTTGATATAAGTCTTTTTGATGCATGTCTTGGGATGAGTTTTCTTGAATCATGTCTTGGGATTAATTTTCTTGATGCTTGTTTTGGGGTGTAATTTATTGATTCATGTTTTGATATGAGTCTTTTTGATGCATGTTTTGGGATGAGTTTTCATAAATCATATCTTGGAATGGGTTTTCTTGA